AAAATTGGAGATTTACAGGTTCTTTGGACGACTTAGACATTTGCATCCCCCCCTAGAACTGCGCTCCTCGATAAATTTAAGTGATTTTACAAGCTCGAACCGAAATGTTAGAGGGCGTGACTTGTGGAGAGGGCGGAGTCTGTGAGATCTCGATTTTTCGAACCTTATGATATAGCTATTTTATTGACGGAATTCTATTTTATTGATGCAATTTCCAGACTCCGGCATCATAGAGGTCGATAGTGATAAGACGGATATCTTTGATATCCTCCAAGGTGCCAACATGGATGGTGTAAGTCATCTGAAAGCTAAGGATAAATCACGGTACGTTTTCAATTACCGTATTACCAAGCCTACAGAAATCTTCACAAATAGATTTTTTCAGGAACAATTTTTTTAGGTATATCTGGTGTTTTATAATAGTCGTATTCGTTTTATTGGCTTTCGTCCAAATCTATTATCAATTGAAATTATATTATTCGGAACCTGTAGCAACAAATATCGAAGCTGCATATCCATCAACTATCGATTTTCCTGCTGTAGCTGTTTGTAACAATAATCAATTCAGGTAGTTCTATGAGCAAAATACAGTATACTCATGGCGGTACGGTAAATCACTTCGGTTACGCCATGCATTTGAGTTTTTGTACGATTTTATCTCGATTTTTAGGTTAACATATATTACGGGTGCTAGGATACTCAATAGACGAACGAAACCAAATCAGGGATCACTGAAATCCATATCAGGAAGGCCTAAGAATATTTTTGAAGAGGTCATTGATTTTCTTCTTTGGTAACTTTCGAATCGCCTCTTTTTTACATTGTAGGAATCTAAATAGAATAAGAACTGGATAAAAATGAAAAAATTCTGAGCGACCCGGGTTTTTACTTACTAGAACAGTCTGGAACTACTCTGTTACAGCTAATAAAGTTGTGATTATCCAAAAGAGTTAGTGAGGAATAAGGACAAGTGTACCTACCTTCCGGGCCATCTAAATTCACCATACAAGGCTCGAGACACGATCCATGTAACCCAGGGTCCATCTGGCTNGCGACTGAACCAGTATGCCACTAAGTGGGACATGAGTTACTTCAGAAGCCTAAAGCTGACGTTCATGTTTACTCTCAAAATTACAAAATATTTCCCTATTCACTTATCTGAATGGACCATTACTAATATTTTTGATCCTATGAGATTCTCCATACAATAGCCATCTGGTGTTTGAAAAATCGGAATACTCCATCAAAAAATTATCCGCCATTCGATAAACGGCATAACTGGCTACGCTCCCTCCCACTCTCGCTCTCCTCACTCTCCCCACACACCCACACCTACCATTTTTGTATTCTATCACGGAGAGGGTTTCGGGCGGCTAGGAATCGTAGGAAATACGGTGGCCATTGAGTACAACTAATGGGGAAGATTTCTTGCCAGTGCTTTGTCGACCAACTGAGATGTCCTAGTGACGCTGGGTTCCACTTGAAGGGAAGTGGAGATGCTTCGTTCCTCATGAAGTCCCAATATAATCAGGAATATTCCATTATTTTCCAATCGTAAGAAGTGAATTATTCTCTCATACTTCAGCTGAAGACTACCATTATCGGATGCTTTAGTAAGAAGGAATCCAGGCAACAGATCAAATCGAAGTGAAGTCTGTTCAGAAAACTTGAGTATGAAGAGGAAATTGCCATATTTGAAGCCGAGAACCGGTGAAGAAGCTAAAATTTGCGCCGAAAATCTATGGAAGAAATGGCTTCTAGTGGAAACTTTGTTAGCAGTGAAGTACGAGAGTAAAAAGTGGAGAAGTTAGAGGTTGTAATCTTTCAATTTCAACTTCGACTAGTCGGATATCACGCGGTTCAGAACGTAGCTGTGTATCGAGGAGCCTTAAGTGCCCCTTTTTATGTTACTCTAGCATCGGAGTAGCGTTTCGAGTGCGTATTCGCCACTCAGGTTCCGGATTGGGGAGCTAGCGTGTGAATACGTTGCTCATCAAGCAGGGTTGCGGTTCGCTGCGCGCGTCCGTCGGAGCCAGGTCATTCCGCAGCCGTTGCACGCGGCGCGGAATCCTTGACGGGCGTTGCATTTGTTGCTGGAACATACGATTCGCGCTTGGTCCACGACACTCATGATAAGGAGAAGATAACATGGACTAGTGCGAATCGTTCGCTCCACTGACACTTACAGGTACAGTAACCTCGCCTCAAGATCCCAGTGGGCAACGCCGCGCGTGGAGTGGGTGGGATGAACCGATTTCGACGGATGCGCGGAACTTCCCCACCCGCCGCACATTTTCTCTGTGCCCTACTATCGAGAGACTTTCTCATTTGAAGGACAGCACGAAATACGATGCATACCTTGATTAAAGTTGGAGATTGCGGTGGAGTGGTTGTTACATCGGAGTTTCCCCGGATTTGCATTGCTGGTGTACAACTTAGCTTAGGGGAGCAGATTTGTTCCTTTCTCAATACAACTTTTGGCAAAAACGTCGTACTTTCACGNACGATGCATACCTTGATTAAAGTTGGAGATTGCGGTGGAGTGGTTGTTACATCGGAGTTTCCCAAGGCTGGTGTACAACTTAGCTTAGGGGAGCAGATTTGTTCCTTTCTCAATACAACTTTTGGCAAAAACGTCGTACTTTCACGATCAGTGCTCACCGGGAATAGCACTGGTCGTTGCCTGAGCGTCGGTTGAGCCAGGCGAGCTGAAACTTTCAGAATGAAGTCGGAAGCGCTCAATCGGAATCACTTATGCAAGAGCCACATTGAGAAAAAATTAAGGACCACATGTTTGCGAGCAACCTTTGCCCAGTGACGAGCGTGCTTGCATTCCGTATGGTCGATGGTGGATCGAATCCTTCTGGGGTCGTAATTTTGCAAGCCAATGGTAATTTCCACGGCTCTGTTTCATCATCCACAGAGCCTTTACTACTGTTCGGTGATTTGAATTGTGGGACCTGTGCCTCTTACTGTTAATCGCGTCCAACAGCCTCTTTCTTCTGATAGTATATGCCTGTCCCCTCTTACTGAAAGATTTTCGCGGCAACAACTGGCACGAGATACGGTGCTGATCTTGTTTAATAGCTGGCGAACACTTAGTCCGCGGTGTGGGGTTAGGCTGCCGGGCCACGGACGGGCACGTCCGAGAGCCTACCGCCTTTTCTACGTGCCCGTCCCTCGACTTCTCGACGAGCGCGCTTCATTGGGTTGGTGACGACAGCTTTTGCTTGAGAGTGTAGAAGATAAGGATCTGGGATGGGGTTTTCTGAGGTTGAGGATTCGGATCTGAGATTTCTTGCACCTGGACCATTCACAGGTCAATATGCTTGCTTTAATGTATCAAGATTTGAAAAAGAAAGCGGAACCCCTCGAAGTGGAGATCATTCATGTCATGTACAGGCGAGGAATGATTTTTCGGTCCGGAAACCATCCCTCGACCGTTCAAATGACGTTCCAAGTCCTTATCCACTACGCTGCGGAGGCACAATGTTGAGGCTGCGCCGACTGTTAATGACCTGCACTGCTCGATACGCTCCCCAACCCCTTCCCTTCCCACCGTGCATTTTCTCTGCGCCCTACCAACAAGAGATTTCTGTGACTAGACCAGCGTGAGGTAAGATGCTTGTGGTGAATAAAACCGGATGAGAGGGTGTCAGTCACCTGAGCCAAACCAGCCACAACCTGGAACGGACTGGTGGTCAGTACCGACCCGCAAAATGAGGGTCCAGGTAGGGATCATAGCTCAAGAGAGGAGAGTGGTTACCTCTCCAACATGGAATTAAACGGGACCGCGATCGTCGATTTTTTGACGGCTTCGGTGCGGTAGCAGGTGATGCTGTTGCGCCGAAAAGCTGGGCCGGGTAGAGCCCTTTTTAGGAGGTTCCTCTTTTGAACTTGAGAAAGAAAAATTTGAGGTAAGACCATCAAATCTCGATTGGGCTCCCGATTTTTTTTGAACGTTGGTGTCTTACGTTTCAAAAAACCAATGCGACTCTCGGAGAAGATCCGAACCATCGACATTGATCCCGTCATTCCACCATTCTAGCCACAACGCCATCAAGTCACATTTGTGTAGCACGTTCCTCTGCACCATAAACAGATGTACTGTTTTCTGGATAAGAAGGGTCGAGAACTGAACTCTGCTCACTTGAATGTTCTGGAAATCTAACAAGGTGGTCTGATATTTATAAGACCTATACCATGCAACTAGGAACTCATCTGCTGTGTAGGTACAGACCATCACAAAGGGCCCTTCAGATTCGCAACCATCCCTTGTAACTTTGTTTCGTTTTTCTTGATTTATCTTGTCCATTTGCTGGGAAATGGTGTACGCTAGACCTTGTTCCACCATGCACCCGATACATCTGAGATCTAGTCATGGAACAAAAGAGTACTGTGCTGTCCGGAACCGAACCCTCAACCATACAGGCATAAGTCTGGTTTCTTATCCGCTGGACCGCGAGAACGTTTTTTAACGTCAACCAATCCAACTGAACGTAGTCAGATGATCGATGATTCGGATCCGGTGCACACGGCTTGTCCGATGGCCGGCGGGCACTTCGGCTAAATGCGGGGCCGAGCCCACACCCTTC